CCTGAGAATTGTTAACACTGGACACCTGTCCGGGGCTAAGGAGTCTAGACTTCCACATCCTAGGCTCAAGCTGAATATTGACGGCCCGGAACCCTTGGCTGCTTAAGAGCCACAGAACAAAGGGCCATAGAGCCTGCAGAGCTAACACTAGATGGTGCCACTTACTGTTCTTCCTGGCCTGCCACTGATGCTCAAATCTGCTGAGAAAGAAAAGTGACAAAGGCCAGCCCATGACAAGCTGGTCCTGTCTTTGCTGCTTACAGTTTCTATCCAGGTAGAGCAAGAAGAAACCCGCCATTCAACTGGTAACCCTGGTATAGGACAGGGCAATACTGTAATGGAGTAACAACAGTGGCCCAAAGAAACATCTAACCCACTAGAGGAGAAATACAGTGCTTACTTGTAAGCATCACAAGGTAAGGTGGATTTTGATGGGTGCGTAGCAATTAAAGGGCAGACAACAGGGAATCCTGAACTAAACATGCAGGGACAGGAAATATTAGGCACATTAGAAAAGTTGTCAATCACCGGGCGGTGGTGGTGCACGCCTTTAATCCCAGCACTTGGGAGGCAGAGGCAGGCTGATTTCTGAGTTCGAGGCCAGCCTGGTCTACAGAGTGAGTTCCAGGACAGCCAGGGCTACACAAAGAAACCCTGTCTCAAAAAAAACAAACAAACAGAGAGAGAGAGAGAGAGAGAGAGAGAGAGAGAGAGAGAGAGAGAGAGAGAGGAAGAAAGAAAGAGAAAGAAAGAAAGAAAGAAAGAAAGAAAGAAAGAAAGAAAAGAAAAGAAAAGTTGTCAATCACTTGTTACAGATGTTGTTTCCTACTTCCTTCCTCTGGGGCTCTCAAGAATCTGACAAGTGACGCTGATGGCATGTCACAGGGTGAGTATGACAAACTGTCGACGAAGTTACGCTCCTGGATACCTGGCCTGCAGAGGATGAGATCCCGTTCAACTACAGCCACATCAGCAAGTGACAGGGGCAACAGAACAGATAAACAGAGCAGCTCAGGGATGCTGGACCACAAGGCCACGTGAAGTCCCTGGAATGAGCTGAAAGACACTTTCAAGGAAAAGGCCATGAGCAACAGCATCAGTAAAGTCACGGCTAAAGAAAAGACATATAATATAAAAGATGGTGTTTTATTGCCAGCCACGCATAATGCCTTGTTTTTTTCTGATACTGTTTTTTTTCTGATACTAAAGGAAATGATTACTGATCCTCCTTTAGTAGAATTTATCTAAATCAATCAAAGGCAGATTTATTACTTAAAAAGTAATCTTTATCCAGGAGTAGTGGTACACACCTTTATTTATATTTATTTATTTATTTATTTATTTTGGTTTTTTCGAGACAAGGTTTCTCTGTGTAGCCCTGGCTATCCTGGAACTCACTCTGTAGACCAGGCTGGCCTCGAATTCAGAAATCCACCTGCCTCTGCCTCCCAAGTGCTGGGATTAAAGGCATGTGCCACCACCGCCCGGCAGGTACACACCTTTAATCTGGGTCTTTGGGAGGCAGAGGCAAACACAGATCTCTTGTGAATTTGAGGCCAGCCTGATCTACACAATGAGTTCCAGGGCAGCCATATCTATAGACTCAGAGTTCGTATAGATGATGATGATGCATCACCTGGAAACCAGGGCATTGGGTGAAAGAAGCTCTTAAGAGACAGATTAGCCTCAAGGGTTGTGGATGAATGAATGTTAAGACTGAGTTTTATCCCATGGACAGTGTAGAACGTCTCAGAGAAAAGGATGTATAGAATGGAAAGAAGTAAGGGTGGTGGCATGGAGACCAGCAGAGAGCCACTGTGCTACTCTGCAGCAGAGAGAGAGCCACTGTGTTTCTCTGCAGTAGAGATGGGGGGGGGGGGGCTGTGTTACTCTGGAAGATAGCTAGGGGGTAGTGAACAACCTGGACCAACATGCTCAATCAGCAGGTTCAACAGCATGGATGTGGTGGGAGGGGTAACAGAACTGTGGAGGAAATATGGTATTCATGTAAAGTTAAGGATGTACCTCTATAACCTAAGGAGTCAATGAACACCATTAACATATATGGCGCGTGTCTGACACTCACACATACAATAAATGGTACTCTTTCTGTCTCTTCAGATAAGTCTTTGTTAAAGCCATTTCATCCTACCTTGGTCAGCAATGACAGTCCTTCCTCTGCAGCATTATCCCCTGTGTATGTTATTCTAAAATTCAGTATTCTCTAGATGGGGATGGATCTCCACTGGTAGAGCGCCTAGCATGTATGAAGTGCTGGGGCTAACATAAGCCTGGCATGGTGGCAACACTGATGTAATCTTGGCATCTGGGAAGTGGAGACAAAGGGACCAGAAGTTTGAGGACATCAGCTAGATAGATATACTTGAGGTTGGTTTAGGATGACTGAGCACCCCACCCAAATAAATATGATCATATACTTACCTGGCTGATGATACACTTACCTGGCTGATGATACACTTACCTGGCAGAGGAGTTGCTATAACCATGAAGATGGTTTTCCCAGGATGAGCCTCATCCTCTGCATTCCCGATGTGATGACACCAGCAATTTCCCCAAATGTGGGAAACTAAACTGTACAATTCATGGTGGTGGACTGCATTCACCCTTTCCTTAGACATATACAGAATGTAATCTACTTATTTTAATTTCCCCATACCAATGTAAACAGCAAAGAACATTTTGCATATGACTAAAAGTAATGGCATAACTACTGTATTGTCATGCTTTCAAACTTAAAGACACTTATATTTTAGGAGACATTTTATTACACGGAGGGGGGAAACATCCAGAAGCAGACATGGTAGCTCTTTTATTCCCCAGAATGTGGGAGGTAGAGGCAGAAGGATGAGAAACACAAGGCCATTCTTGGCTACATAGCAAGTTTTGAGGCAGTGCCTTTACCCACTGATCCATCTTGCTGGCCCTGTCTTTTGCTTATCTATCACAGTCTTTTGCTTCTGTGCTTTTTCTTGGATCAAGCTCCCATGATAGAATTCAAAAACTTACTTGATTCCCAGGAGGTCTAGTTTTCTTTTGGGGTCCATTCAATAAAACACAATGAATTTTCCCCAATTACCTTGACATTCAAGCTATTCAGAAATTATCATCAAGCATAAAAGAAATCCAGAGATTCAAGAAAAAAAATGGCAACTTGTTTCATCATAACCATCTTATAAAGGGTTAAAGGCCTTAAGATGGCCTCAGCCTTCGCTGGGAGAGTGATCTGTGGTACGTGCTGGATGCTCATGGAGTTAGCTTCATCTTTGATAATGAGGTATGTCTCATGGTGATTCTCTGGTTACTGCTATAGAAAAGGGGTGTGTGGGGGGCACTAACACCAGTGTGAACTCTTATGGAAATATTGGATTTCTTTACTGTGGCTAGGCATTACACCACCATCCTGTCGAGTCCCAGGGTACATCTGTGATCTATATGTGACAATCCATTCTAACCTTCATATATATATTGATAGAAAATTTGGTACTTGAACAGATTTAGAATCTAGTAAAGTTATGCTTAGTGGTATATACTGGTTATCTCAGCACTGGGGGACAGGAGGATCTGTGAATTCCAGGCTAACCTAGGCTACAAAGCAAGACTCTGAGAAGAAAATACAAGAGCTAGAGAGGGAGCTCAGCAGTTAAGAGCACTTGCTGTTCTTGCAGAGGATCAAGTTCAGTTTCCAACATCTAGGTAGGGCAGCTTATAATAGTCTGTAATTCCAGTCCAGGGGATCCAACTATCTCTTCTGATCTCTACTGGCACTTACACGTGACTCAAAATAACAATAAAAATCTTAAGATGTCTTGCAGTACAAAATCCTTTTACCATACCTATGGTATGGGTTTAACCTGGTATTTATTATACAGATGTCTAGTGTGCACACTTGTTAACCTCTTCCCTTTTGTTGAGAAGAGGTACCAAAGTGGCATTCCTTCAATGGCGGCTGGTCAAAGTATGCTGTATGTAGAGGAAGAAGCTGGGAAGTACTGGTTTTTGTTTTTGTTTTCCTTTTGAAAGAAATTTCCACTGTGAGACCATGTATGTGTGCTAAGCAAGTATTTTACTACTGAGTTAAGCCACGAATTCTTTAAAAAAAAATTAATTGGCATCTAGGAAGACTGGAATTTCTCAAGCTGGTCTGTGAGTATCACAGGTTTGAACTAGAAAAGCAAAGCTCAAAGTTCTCCTTTTGATGGATGGAGAAGGGAGAATAGCGTTTACTAAGATACCAGGATGCTCATTGGGAAAGAAGCCATCTCTTTATAGTTAACAACTGTTTTCATTTGAATCCCTTCAAGTTCTCCACCCTACTTTTAAAATAAACAAGTGGTGTGAAATAATTGAATGTAAACGTCCCGAACCCAAAAGATGTGTTTTCCTGAATTAAAATTTTGATCTGTGAGAACACACACCTGTACTCCCTACTGAACTGGTCAAACACAGGAGAATACTACGAGAAAAGCTAAAGCCACCAACTAGTGGAAATAATTCATGGAGCAGCCCTTTGAAAGCCTTGGCTTCAAAAAGGGAGGAAGATGGCGGGCGTTGTGGTTTGTGCGATTAATCTCAGCACTGAGGACTGCGCGGGTTTAAGAGCAAGCAAGCACAGCCTGGGCTCGGTTAAGATTCCAGCAGCCCGTCTTGGGTTCTTGCTCTATCTGCCGCTACACAAGCACAAACCTTCGAATGCCGAGCTGTGGAAAAGTTTTGCTACTCTAGAGAGAGGGGCAAGTAAAAACAAAACAGACCCCCACAGGAATTAAGTAGGCGACAAACACTGTAACTCGTCCCCAAACCAAACACGCTACTTCTTCCGGACTTCCAGGCAGAAGGAGGGTCCATTGCGTCATAAGTCGGCACCGGAAGTTGGCGAGGCAGCGCCGGTAGTGGCTCTGTTTCTAAGGACCGGAAGAGGCCTTTGCGTGCTCAGAGAGGGGACGCTTCTTCGTGCTGGGGAGGTAAGGGATCGTCGGCTGATGATTTTGGAAGTAAATTTGGAGCAAAACCAGGAGAGACACTTGGCTTTAAAATATAACTGGGCGGCCGGGAGAGGTAGCACACTCCTGCCATCTGAGCGCTTGGGAAGCAGAGGTAGGAGAATTCCGCCTTCAACAAACACTTTGAGATTAGGCTACAAAGTGAGTTCTAGGCTAACCTGAATTACAAAGTGAAGACTCTCAAAGTCTTCTCAAAGAACAAGATGCGTAAATAAAGATCCCCGGTTGGAGTTAGTGTTGAGACAAGCTTTGAGGAAGCTGCTGCTCCCAGCTGAGATCTGAATTCATTTGCAGAGTGATATTGGGCAACAAACCTGTCCTTAGCCTCTGTTTCTTCTAGTGTAAAGAGTAATTAATACCCTCTAGGATCGTGAAGAGTGTAATAAACATTCACAATGTATTTATTATTATTGAAAATGTGTTCTGTCCTTCAGACCCAGCCCACACCACAGTTTGGGGGAAGTATAGATTTACTTTGACTTTTTTTTTTTTTTAAACTTCCCCTTCTGTAATACTGAGTATTGATCCTTGGGTTTCTGCATGCTGGGCAAACATTCTACTGAGTTTTTCTCTTCGGCTGGAAAAATTAGAACCTTGTATAGCTTCTGAGGAAAAAAAAAATGGGGCATGTTTTGTGCGAAGTCCCTGTTATTCAGTCTTTGACTCTGATTTCAGGCACTAGCAATGGACGCCCAGAAAGATGTTCAACCACCAAAGCAGCAGCCAATGATATATATTTGTGGAGGTAAGCTTAACATTTAAATAATGCTTTACTTAGGAAAAAAAATCCCCCCCCCAATCCTTCCTTACACGAGCACAAATCTTTAAAATTGTAACAAGGACCACGTTAGCGATTGTTAATTTAAAAATCTCTTCCCCTTATTAGGATTTCTTCCTTTTATCTGGAAAAGGTGTACTGCCTACAGCTCTTCTTCTCCTCAGTCTGTTAGTACTGAGCATGCACTTGGATGCGTCGGTGACTTGGTCTTCTCCTGCTGAAATCTGTAGTTAACATTTGCTTCTCTGGAGTGTTTTTCTTTCAGGCATTGAACAAATGTGCTTTTTTCCCCCAGAGTGTCACACTGAGAATGAAATAAAATCCAGGGATCCAATCAGATGCAGAGAATGTGGATACAGAATAATGTACAAGAAAAGGACTAAAAGATGTATCCTTTTAAGTATACTTTCTAAATGTGAAGAGGAAATAACCAGTATTTGGGTTGATGAAGACTAAGATCTGATAAAAGTAGTAATAACTTTTGGATTATTTGTTTTTTAAGCAGAGTACATGTGGACTTATTAAGAATGAGAACTGAGCCGGGCAGTGGTGGCTCACGCCTTTAATCCCAGCACTTGGGAGGCAGAGGCAGGTGGATTTCTGAGTTCGAGGCCAACCTGGTCTACAGAGTGAGTTCCAGGACAGCCAGGGCTACACAGAGAAACCTTCTTGAAATACCTCCCTCCACTCCCCCCAAAAAGAATGAGAACTGAGAGAGTGGAGACTCGACAGGAGGTATACCCAGATTAATTATTTTAATAGGGCTTATTTTTCCCAAAACACGGGGGGCAGAGACAGGCAGCCCTTTGTGAATTCAAGGCCAGCTTGGTCTAGAGTTAGTATTCCAGGTCAGCTAGAGCTAGTTAGTGAGACCCAGTCTCAAAGACCCAAATAGGGGTTAGAAAAATGGATCAGCAGGTAACAATATTGGCTGCTTTTTCAAAGGGCCTATTTCTAGAACCAACATGATTGCTGACAATCACAGGTGGTCCAATAGACCCCTGAACTACCAGTACAAGGGACCCAAATGGTACATAAATACTTCCAGGCAAAAGCACTCATGCATAAAATAAACAAAAAGTTTTAAAAACCCAATAAACACATTTTTAATTTATTCATGTATTTAGGTAATCACTGGCCATCCTAAAACTCTGTGTGGCCTCAAACTCAGAGATCCACCTACCTCCCCCGACCCCCCAAATCCTGGGATTAAAGGCATGTACTACCAATGCCTGGCAGAGGGTTGTTTTTTTTTTGTTTTTTTTTGTTTTTTTAAAGTAAACATGATTAGCATTCATCATGGGCTCTCAGTAATCTCAGGATGTCTTTGTTTTTAGTTGTAATCATTGTTGGTTGTTAGTTTATGAACAACCTAAAGTGTGAAAGAGAAATTAATAACATTGGAAGACAGTGAGGCCTGCAAATCGTTTCATTGTAACCCGACACAAAGTCTTAAAGTCATCAGTTGTTTCAGTGAGTTTTTAAAAATTATCTTTTAATACTCTTTATATTATTATAATGTGTTAATGTATGTTATATTATTAATTTATATTATTGTATCCAAAAAAGTGAGCTACTGAAAATGGAAGAAGTGTACTTTATTTTTTTAGATAATCTCTGTGGTCATAGTGAGCTTCATTCTTTTGCTCACTTTCCATTCAGTTGCAAGCTTGGTGCAGGGGGTGACTTGGAAGCCTTAGTCTTACACAATTTTAAGTACTGTTTAAAATCCTTAACTCAATCCAACAGTGGTGGTTTTTGATGCTCGGTGAAATGAGGGCGTTCAGGAGTGTCTTCATTCATATATTTGCCTCATTGATGTTTCTCTTTAATGTATAGCGTTTAACTTAGTTTACTTAATGACTACAACTGTATACCTATGATTTCATTTTAGAAATGCAATTGTATTTTGATACTTTGTATAAAGGAATTTTGGTTCAACATATGACTTAATTTATTGTTCTTGTAATTCCTCACACAGTGAAGATTAAAGTGTTTCCCCAAACCACTTTAATTCAGTGTCTTGTTAAAAAGCCATCAGACCAGGTGACTTGTGTTCAGGCCCTGGGATCCACACAGTGGAAGGGGAATCGACTTCTGAAATGGGTCTGTCCTCTGACTTCCACGTGCACACCAAGACTTGGACATGTGCATCTGGGCACCCACAGAGAACAATAACTAAAATAGAACTAAAGTAAGATTCTGAATGCAGCTTTCTAGAACCCTTTTCTAAAGGTCTGAACAAATAAGTCCCTTGGAAATGACTGTATTTTGTCAACAACTCTAAACTGTCTAAGTACCATTGTATTTGCTGTCTGTATTTGCTATAAAAAGTCAAAAATAATGTATAAAAATCAGAAGCAAATAAACTTAGACAGCTGGGCAGAGGACTGGCTCGGAAGTACTTGGTGTACTTTCAAAGGTCCCTCGTTCTGTTTGAATACCCATGTTGGGTCTCTCCCAGCAGACTGGAACTCCAGGTCCAGGGCATTTGACACTGCCCTCTGGGTGTGTACATATAGCCCACACAGACCCACGCACAGACATTTTGGTATAATAAGTGTTTCCTCAATTATGCAGGTATACATATCCCTCAGACACAGAGTTCTGGAAGTTGGGTGTTGTGGAGCCTGTCTGTAATCCCACCTAGTGGGAGGTGGAGGCAGGAGGATTTAGAAGAGGTTCAAGGTCGTCTCTGGCTACATAGCTAGTCTGAGGCTGAGTGATTGACTACTAGAACACCCACTGTGCTCTACTGTGTGTTGCTTTACTTAGTGTCTCACTGATTTCTTCGACTCTGCACTCCTGTGTAACTGGGAGTGCAGGCCTACACCACCGCAGGCCTACACCACCACACACAGCTTGAATACTTTTTGCTGTTTAAGAGCTCTGTAACAGAATAAACCTTGGTGCCCTTGTGAGCTAGCTGTGTAACCCTTACTGGGCCTTTCTTTACATACCTGTTTATTGGTTGTTGTTTTTTTCTTTTATGAGGACAGATTTTCTTTGCTTGCCCACAGTCTGCAGATTATTCTCATCTTTTTCAATTCAGCATAGATTGTATAGCCAGAAGAAAACATGAAGCGTGAAGAGAGAACTACAAACCCCATGGTATGGCAGCCATTCTCCAGATTGTTCCAGTTTTTTCTCTGCAGGAAATAGTGTTGTGGAAGTTCTGGTAGTTGCTTGAGACTCACTTTGCTGTCTGGAGTGAGCACCTGGAGCGTGTGATGTGGTTTCCACGGCAGCGAGACAGCCGAAGGATTATCTAAAGCGTGAGTCCTCATGTATCAATATGCAGCTTAGCATTCTCCAACATCAAACCCTAAATAAGCCTATAAATGTAGTGGCTCGAGCATTGGAATTGATACCAGCAATGGCCCCTCCTGCAGACCTTGACTTAGACACAAAAAGGAGAATTTATTCGATTCCTGTTATGAACTAGGCACATACCAGCTGCTTTGTTCATCTATTTTACCAAATCTGAAATGTATTTAAAATGGAAGTAAATTTCTCCACAAAACGACCTCTACTACTGTTTTATTCATCTGAATTGCTTATATCAATCATATTTGTATCTCCAGCACTCAAAAGGGTACCATGCTCCTCACCAACCTCTCAGGAAATGTGGGCTGCATGAAAAGAGGAAAATGTGCCTTTCTAGTTCACAGGACAGTAGATAAACCTAGTGTGCAAGAGAATCTGACGGTTCAAGTCAGCATTCAGTTATGTAGGAGTGCAGCAGCCCGGTGGTGGTGGCGCACACCTTTAATCCCAGCACTTGGGAGGCAGAAGCAGGCAGATTTCTGAGTTCGAGGCCAGCTTGGTCTACAGAGTGAGTTCCAGGACAGCCAGGGCTATACAGAGAAACCCTGTCTCGAAAAACCAAAAAAACAAAACAACAACAAAAAACCCCAAAAAAACAAAGAGTGCAGCAGCCTAGGCCAGCTGACTAGTCACAGCGTTTTAACCGGGGTGAGGGGGAACACACCTTTAACCCGACCTCTCAGGAGGGAGAGGCAGGCGTATCGACAGGGGGAGTGCCGGGACTGCCAATGCTACACGCAGAAACCCCGTAGTGAAAAATCAAAACAAAGCAAAAACAGCGTTTAGCTCGCTGTAAAGACAGACTGAAACCCAAAGGAAGTGTTTTGCCCTCGCTAGGTTCTGGTCCCAATGAGGGCAGAAGGTGCGGCCTGTGAGGCCAATCAGCGGGCGGGCAGCCGGGGTAGCCAATCGCCGGGCAGAAGGCTTAGTCTCCGCCCAGCCGCGTTAGGCACCGGCTCCGGGTCTCCAGTCCGTGCCCTCTGCTGGCCTTACGGTGAGACCCAGGTGAGCGAGCACCCTCGGGACGTGGAGAAGCGACCGCACGCACACACCGTCGGTGAACGTCCTTTCTGGTCTGGGAAGGCGATTGGAACTTCCCACCGCTGTGGTTCGCACTGGGGTGGAAGTTGGGACGGAGTTGCCGCACTGCAGTTTCCTCGGACTACCCTCTGCTTCAGCACCGGGAACCACAGCCCAAGCCAGAGGGACGACTCCCGACGTCGACGCTTGCAGGTTGGCCCTAGAGCTAGCTCCTAGGCTCGACCCAGACGCTTTCCCTGGGTCTGGCGGTCCCTGGAAACCGTTGCCATGGCTGGGACATGCCACTTCCGTTTCTGGCTGCAGAGGGCGCTGGCCGGCTGAGTTGGAGAAGCCGGGTTTTCACGTTACTAGGGTTACCACGAGACGCTACAGCAGTTTGCACAGGAAATATTACTAATACACTGAATTAGGAAATATGGGAAATGAATGTGAGCAGGGTGATGGCAAATAAATCAAACTCAGCCAAGAACAAGCTTTTAGACAGACTGTAAAGAAATATGGAAAAATTCTCTAGAAAACAAATCAAACCACCCTTTAGAAGTTGAGAATTAACGTTGAGCTGTGTGTTTAGGGGGGCGTGTCTCATGGAGCTCAAGCTGGCTGTGTTAGTTATGTAGCTGAGGATGATCTTGAATTCATGTCCAGTCCCCAAGTGCCACACCACGCCAAGCTAACTTAAAATAATCTTTTTTTTTTTCTGTTTTTTTTCGAGACAGAGTTTCTCTGTGTACTCCTGGCTGTCCTGGAACTCACTCTGTAGACCAGGCTGGCTTCGAACTCAGAAATCCGTCTGCCTCTGCCTCCTAAGTGCACTTAAAATAATCTTAAGAAAATGTATCCTACAGGAGAGAAAAAGCATAAAAGATTCAACATCGGACAGTGTACAACTGCCTGTAACTCTAGCTCCTGTAATACAAATAAAAAGTAAAATTCTTCAAGTTCTCTCCCAGTTCCTTTCAAATTTTCAGATTATGCTTTTGATGGAAGGCATTCTTCACTCTCAGCCAAGAGGTATGGTATGAAAGCCACAGTCTAATTAATTCCTGTCTGGATCTTATTCCAAAGTTGAAGGCCTGTTAATCTTTTATACCCAAGGCAAAGCCAGCAGCAGCCTGCAGGAGAAGTCTACATGCCCTCCCTCTCCTTACACTCCCAGAGAGCGGCGGCCCTGAAACATGTGTCCAGGAATTAGACCTCTGCTACCTTTGTTTTTAAAATGATCAGTAGTAGGTGTAAGTGCAGTGGCTTGAAGGAAGGGAAAGGAAGGAAGGCAGGCAGGCAGGAAGGAAGGAAGGAAGGGAGGAAGGAAGGAAGGAAGGAAGGAACTTTGCCAGTGATGGCCAGCACTCCTAAGAAATGTATTCTCTTTGCAAACATGCATTTATATATGTAGACATGAAATAGAAATTTTTATTTTATTTATTTATTTTTGTTTTTTTGAGACAGGGTTTCTCTGTGTAGCCCTGGCTGTCCTGGAACTCACTCTATAGACCAGGCTAGCCTCGAACTCTCAAACTCAGAAATCCGCCTGCCTCTGCCTCCCAAGTGCTGGGATTAAAGGCGTGTGCCACCACCGCCCAGCAAAATAGAAATTTTTATAAAGCTAATGGTACATAGGTTTTCTTTTTCTTTTTTCTTTTTGGTAGAGGGAGGATTAAAATAATTAAACGATGCCCCACACTTTGCTAGGAAAGTAGCACTGAGCTGTATTGTGCACTCTCTGCCCCCCCCCAACAGTTTACTACTAGTAGAATTTTCTGAAGAGTACCTAAATAAACCACAAAATGTTTCATCCACATATGTCTGATGGTTCAGGTATCCTTCAGAATTAGTGGCGTATGATGGGTCTTTTGTCTTAACTTCAGGCCAGTCTCAGCTAGATGAACCGAGTACAAACAATCCAGCCAGTATCCAGGCAGCACAGCTGAAGCAGGAAAAAGAACAAAGACGAGGAGGGTTCCTGCCATTGCTGAATGAATGATTCATAACAGACACATGGTCAGCTTGTCGTTTTCATCGATGCCCTGTGTAATTTACCTCCCAGTAGGAAAGCTAACATTTTTAACTGCCACAATTTTAATTTAAGGATTTTACACAGGAAAATAAAGAAAGAAAAATACTTCAGAAGATCTTACAAAAGCTTGTGTATCTTAATTAATGTGCTTTTATTGCATGGTGTGAACATAAATTTGGAATATATGGGGGGGTTGGTGCTTTTTTTTTTTTTAATTGTCAACACAAACTGGTCATCTGACAAAAGGAAATTAAAATAGAGGAATTGCCTCTATCAGATTGGCAAATCTGTGGGGTATTTTCCTGATTAGTGACTGATGTTGGAGGACCAAGCCTGCTGTGGATGGTCCTGAGCGGGTAATAAGGAAGGGGGCTGTCTGGAGCCTCGGGAAGCGAGCCAGTGAGCAGCCCCCTCCATGGCCTCCACTCAGCTCATGCCTCCTGCTCATGGCTCCTGCCCCGACTTCCTTCAGTGAAGAATTGTAATCTGTGAGATGAAATAAATCCGCTGCTTCCCATGTTGCTTTTGGTTGTGGTGTTTGTCACAGCAGCAGAAAGAAGGTTGGGTTTTGTTTTGTTTTTCTCCCAAATCTATGTTAGAGTGGAGTTTTCATGACAGAATAGACA